ACCCCTGGACCCAGCAATGCCACTCTTGGGAATATACCCAAGAGATGCCCGATCATATGACAGGGGCATTTGTTCAACTATGTTCATAGCAGCATTATTTGTAATAGCCAGAACCTGGAAACAACCTAGATGTCCTTCAATGGAAGAATGGATGAAGAAAGTGTGGAATATATACACATTAGAATACTACTCAGCAGCTTTGGCTGTTCTTACTCACTCTGTAGAACAGGCTGGCTTCAAACTCACAGAGATTGGCCTATCTCTTCTTCCCGAGTGCTGGAATTAAAGGCATGTGCTACCACCCGGCCATGATCTAACTCTTTATATTGCATATATTCTATACTATATAGCTTCTAAGAAAGGCCTAGGACATGGTAGTTAAACATTAAAACATTAAGAAAAAAAGCTGGGTGGTGGTGGTGCACACCTTTAATCCCAGCACTCAGAAGGAAAAGGCAGGCGGATCTCTGTGAGTTCAAGGCCAGCCTGGTCTACAGAGCCAGTTCCAGGACAGCCAAAGCTACAGAGAAACCTGTCTTGAAAAACAAAACGAACAAACAAAAATTTTAAAACCCTCTAAAATTAAAAGTTTGAAATTCTACACTGTATGAACAAAGAAATAGTCTGATAATGCTTTTGGTCAGTTTTTTTTTTTCACCTAATAAGTTTGGTATCTAAATATGGAAACCAACTAATATTCAGAACTTTGGGCATGGCAAAACTGGTCCCAAAGGCTTGTGGTAAATTGTACTCTGATCCAGCTGGGCCTTGTTTGTAGAATTTGGATAATCTCTGAAAGACTTTGAGGCACCTCAGCATTACTGCACCCCCCTTCCTGGGAACCAGGTCCCTAGTAACCAGCCACGCGTGCACGGGAGCTTTGAGTACTTTCCATCCCCATTGTAGTCTTTCTTCAATAGACCCGGACCCTGGAACTGGGGTGAGACGACCTGCAGGTGTTCCTCCTTGTAACCGCCATAGCATTGATCAAGTAGAGTTAGCTGACCATTGAATGAACTAGTCAAAATAGTTGACAAATGATTTTTGGACTTTCCCTTTGATTCTGTACTACCCCCTCCCTGATTTTGTGGTTTTTCCTTTAAAAGAGCTTGTAATAGACAAAGCAGGGGTCCTTCTCCTCTCGAGGCTGA